CAGCAGCAGGGGTAAAAATTGTTAAATGCAGCGAATAAGCCCTTCCCTATTCATATCCCTCCTCGTTTTACCTCTACTGAATCACTGTGGAGAAGATGCCAAATGTCACGGTGACTGTCACGGTGCACTGCAACACACCCGAGCCCAGGGTGACTGAATTCCATCACATCATTTTATGTGAATATGTCCTAATATGTGTAATGCACAATGTGTGTGTGTGTGTGTGTGTGTGTGTGTGTGTGTGTGTAGCTAGAAAGCACAGGTCAAAGCCTCCCTGGTTGTATTAAATCAGTCTGATAGCAGGTTAACGTTTTCCTGTGACGTGTAAATCTCCACCATAGTTGGAGGTTGTTCGTATTGTTTCCATTCTATACACTTTGCAGAGCCGAGCCTGATACCACACACACACACACACACACACACACACACACACACACACACACACACACACACACACACACATATATATACTTTGTGAATATCTTGCCACCATGGTCACACAGATCTACAGTGGGAGAGTTGCACAATAGCAAAATAACAACGATTGTTGTAAATGTGCTTCAAGCAGCATTTTGAAACACTCACGTATCACTGTCAAATTAATTCAAACACCTGGTTGTAATTACCACAAACAAATAAGAGCAAGGTGGAGATTAATGCAGGGCCAGTTAACAGAGTTGTTAATGTCTGTAATTTTACTCATGTCCTCACCCTCAACGTGGGGGTGTGCTTGTAATAATGTCAGCACTAAAAACAGTGAAACGTTTAATGGTAATGGTTGTGAAAAAACATTTCTACCCTGTATATTATTATTATGATCATTATTATTATTATTTTACCAGGATTTACCAGGAGCAAAACATGGATCACACACACACACACACACACCCACACACACACACACATACAGTATATACTGTGTGTATATATATAGATATATATCTATATATATATAGATATAGTGGAGAGAATGATGTTCCTGAGGTTTGAATTGCATCAAAGCAATCGAGAAAAACTGTAACATCGAGGACAGGTTAGCTGGGCAGCGTGTCCCGGTTTTGGTTTCTTTAATGAAGTCTGACCGTTATCAGAACATCATTGTGTGTAAAATGTGCAGGAAAACCAAACAGCGTCCCGACCAAGAGCGGGAACACAACAAACTTCTTTTATCACCTTAGCTGTTTCAACCCTTTTGATTATGCAACACACTGTGTGACAAAACAGTACAAGGATACAACCCGTATAGTTTCATTTCTCATTCTGGCATCTAATACAGTGTTTCTTGTTCTCAATGTGGAACATCCCACTCCTGCGGTACAGATAGATAACGTACTCAACAGTACGGACATTTGACGGGAGAGAAAATTGTAACAGCCTCATATTTATTCAGGAAGGTGCCACAATCTATTTTTCCAATGAGTTCTCATTTGATCACATTCAAGCTTCACCACTGACTCTTTGTGTGTATGGCTTAGTGAGAGCAGTATTGCAAGTCATGCACAGCAAGCTGCATGCACATAACAACTGCATTTAAACAATGGGATGTGTTCAGTTTATCACTGATTTAATCAGTATTGTCATGTTGATCCGATTGTAAACTAGGCAATAATATAATTGAATGCACAACTGTGTACAACTCGATCTGCAGTTTAATCAATTAGTTTAACATTGATTTAGTTTGAAAAAATCAGTACTTAATTCAATGTTAAGTCAACGTTGACACAAGTCAGATGTGGAAACAACGCTGCAATATCAACGTTGTGATTCAACCTTGATTTATGACGTCGTCTCACCCGCTGAAACGCCAAGTGGGACATTTTCATTAAGAAAATGACTTTCTCTGTTGTTCATGTCACACTGTGCAGGCTGTAATTATAAGCAGCCAAGTGGCAAAACTCCTTCATCAGCCTCCTGGTTTTAAGGCACAGTGTGAGGAAGTTCTGACTCAGCTGACCGGTTCAACCCTGACACTGCCATCTGAATAAAATCCCGTATTTACAATAATACTGACACCACTTACTTAGACCTACATGGAGCAGCGTAATCATTGTTGTTACTCGTTGCTAGGCTTGGGATTCAATATTATTTTCTCTAACTGAATCATTTTGTTATTAGGTTGAGCTTTGAACATTTGCAAATTACTGAAGTTATAAATTACTAAAAGTCAAACAATCAATTTCTATCTTCTGTCGCCTTTTGTTGGCAGGAGAGGAACAAACAGTTTTGAGTGGCAGCTTAATGAATAAATGAAGCTCTACAGCCTGTAGATAACCTGAAAATATGATGAGCAGCAGATGATATGATATATGATATGATGTCACATGATGAGATGAAATAACATAACATGATATGACATAAAATTATATATGATATGAGACATGGCATGACATGATATGATAGTACATGATGATATATGATATGACGTGATATGAGAAATGACATGACATGATATGATATGACATGATATGGTATGATATATAATATGATATGATATTATATGATATGACATGATATGCTAGTACATGATATGATATATGATATGAGAAATGACATGACATAACATGATATGATATATGATATGGTATGATATATAATATGATTATATGATATATGACATGAAATACCATGATATACAGTAAATTACGATATGAGATATGACATGACATGATATGATATATTTATGACATATGTATGATATATGATACAATGAAAAATATTTTGAAATCAGGTTGTCTCTACTAACACGCTGTTTATTCAATGTGGTGGAAATCCGGATTCAGAGCCATTAAGCTGAAAATCTTAAAATATTGATATTAACAGCATAAAAGTTTAACTGGGACATTCCTGCTACTAACACTAATGTGTTGTAATCTGTGATATCGTTTTACTACAAATGATTCTCTGCTATATCTTGTACTACAAAAACACTGATCATTCAGTGGTGTTTGTGGCTAACAAATGATTTGTCACTGCACATAAAAAGAAAACCAGAGGGTTTTTGGAGACTTAAACAAAAAGAAAAGTTGAAATGTTGCTTGGCTGTGGTGGTGTATTAGTAAAAAACCAAATGTAGATGGAAACAGATTTAATTAATAAATCATGTGAATCATCTGACTTGTGTTTCACTCAAACCTCCATCACAGCAGACGAAAACATCAGATCTGTGTGGAGCGATAAGGAGAACATAACCTTTCCTGATTTCATACATGAAACAAACATACATGTCATGTTTCCAGCATGTTTTCTACGCGCTTTTCACAGTGTGGGGATTGATTGGAGATCTTTTACTGACATCATCTCATTGCATCCTCTTCTTCTTCAGTGGTTTAATGGAACCTGACTGGAGCATCACAGCCGGCCGTGTACACATTAATCCACATTTTCTCTTGCTAAATTTCTGGAAATTTGGTTTAAATTTGTGCTACATTTAGATGTTTTCATATTTCATGCCTCCGCACTGGCGACAGCCAGAGCCAGAGGCGTATTGTTTTTGAGTTGTCTGTCCGTCTGTACGTATGAACTCGTGGACACGATATCTCAGTAACGCCTCGACAGAACTTCTTCAAATTGGGCCAAAGGTCAAAATGTGGTTTTGGCCTCGTGGACGCGATATCTCCACAGCAACGCCTTGAGGGAATTTCTTCAAATTTGGTACAAACGACCTCACAAAACACTTTTTAGCCATAACCCGAGACCTCACACAGCAATTATGACAAAATTTCACACAAATGGTTCACATTTTATTTGACTCTGGATAAACTGATGTAATCTGAAACTGTGAGGCGGAAATTCTAGTTTTGCAGATTATGGCATATTTGTTGTGTTGTTCCTTATTCTATTGCATTTGTTTTGAAACCAAATTTTCCATGCACCGTTGGCAGAGCTTTGACTTCTCAACCACCATAAACAGAGCAGATGTTTCCGGTAGATGCATCATAATAAATTATTCATTGTATCGCAGAGGCTGCCAGTCTCCTCACTGATGCTTATTTTTGCTAACTATTAAAAAAGAATTAGGATAAAAATAATTCTATATTTGTCTTATTAGATGTGGCAACATTAAACATCTGTTTTGTGGCTTTTCTCACCATTGTGTCTTCACAATGCTTCCTGCTTCACACTATTCAAGCACCGTATTTCTCACCATCAAGGTCAAGAGGTGCACAAGAATTCAAGATGCCTTAAATGCTCTTTACCCGCCTCTGATATCCTGGGATTATTATTCATTCCTAATTCAGACTTCTTTATGAAGAGGACAGGAAAAGCTCTACTGTACTGAAAGTGCAGAAGAGTGAAGGCAGCAGTGGTACAGTGGTTCTAGATGGGGCTGCACGAGGAAATATGAATATTTTAGCGTGTTTGCATGTACGTATGTTTTATGTGAGTGTGTCTGCATATAGCAAGTCTCTGTTGGGTCGGAAAGGTCGTGGCAGGAGTACTGGAGGAGGTATGTGTTTGTGGGTGTATGTGTGTGTGTGTGTGTGTGTGTGTGTGTGTGTAAGTGCAGCAAGGGTGAGTGGGTGTAGCTTAATTAAATGGGTGTCTCATCAGTCTATTTTCCTGTCATTCAAAAGTGGTGTGTGTGTGTGTGTGTCCTCTTTGTCATTGCCCCCCCCCCCGTGCTGTGTGGCAGCCTGACAGCAGGATCGGAGCTGCAGCCAGGCAGCAGAAGGTGCTGGTGAGGTCAGAATTCAAACACTTGACTCTAAGAATCACTTTCCTTTACATTATTGTATCTTCTACGTGCAAAACTGCTCCCCCTGTCGTTATACGTTTATGCAAAAAGTGCTCACATCATTACACTCTGCACAGCTCTGCCGTGTCGAGGGACAACACCAACAGACTGTCTCAATGATTTATCTGCAACATGCTAACAACAGCATATGGCTTTGCGTGTCTCCGCGCATATGAAGACATTTCAAGTCAACCTTCACACTAACTAGCAGTTACTCTGGGAGTCTTATTTGCTCTTCATGAATCAGAAGAAAAAAGACAACTACCTTTTCTCCATTAGCGCTGCCCAACACGTAGCAGCCCATGATGTGGATGAGGTTGGGCTCTGGGTTCAGCTTACTCATCAGCCTGCTGAGCCGCCGCCAGAACCTGGCCACACCGGAGAGGCGCGGGGGAAATGAGAGAAGTGAGTTAGTAAGGTGGTTAAGGTCAAAACTGAGTGAATGAGTAACTGCATGAGGGTCACGATTATAAACGCAATTTGGAGGCACCTTATGGTTGGAGATTTTCACGGTAGGATTTTATGCCGACTGCCATTATTTAACTGAATTATTTGTGTTTGTTAAATTGCTGAAGGTTTTAATGGAGCACAGCTGACGGGACCGTCAGTCTTTGTACTGTATGTGTAGCATAATTATCCAAACCCACACTAGATACAAGCATGCTATGAATTCAGGATTGAACAATCTGCTGAAATGACTTTGTTCTCTCTCTGTCATTATCATAGTCACAAAGAACATATGCCGCATTTTTCCATAAACATTGACTTTCTGTGGTTGAACCCTGAACAAATACACACAGATTATTGGTTACAGCTACAAAAATGAAGCAGGTCTTACTGGATCATGTCTTCTTCCTTCTCCACCTTGGCAAATGTGGCCACTTTATTCTTCAGCAGATATAAATGTCCTGGACCTCCCTGTGGAAAGGTGTTTGTGTTAAGATAGATTCAGGTATAAAAGTATAAAAGTCACTTCATTCTTTCTGATGTTGTAGAACTGAAGTAATATTTTATCTATATCTATAATTATATATTATCTATAAAATGTCAGTTCACCACTGGGCCTTCAGCCACCACACAATGATGACAAAATATTTAGCTCCAGTTTCTGATAAAAACCTGAGGAGAAACAGCTGCTCCATTATCTTAAAGTAAAGAAAACGTGTCGAGCATAACAACTCAGTACATCTTACAATGAAGTGGTTTATTTAACCAATTTCAATTCCATGTGCATAAAAATAGCAGGTGTAAATGTGATATTGGATATTGATTATGCCTAATATAATTCATCAAGGCAGCAGGAGGTGTGTTACATTATTCAACAGGACTGCAAATGAGAGCAGAACGCAGGTGGGAGACACTATCAACAAGAAAAAAAAAAAAAAAAAAATGGAGTTCACTAGTTCACTGACTGTACCACATCAATTCAGACCTGCAATACTCCTTTTATATCCCTGTAGTAACTTAGAACAGATGCATCTGTGTAAACTGTCCTGAGTCTCTCTGTATACTGGGAAGTGTTGGCAGAGTATTTATAAGACACCCACAACGGGCCAGTTGGTCCAGTCCTCATTTTACTCATAGATGAGTCTGATGTTAGTCAAACTGCTTCACAAAAATAAAAAGACTGACTCATTTCAAGTTAAAATCATTAGATATCTTATCACCAGGCTAACTCAGTCCTAAGACAAATGTTACCACGGTAACAATCAATGACACCTGCGCTGACCACCAGTACTCAACAACAAAAAAACAGGAAAACATGGCTCATAATTTGTGGTTTGATAACATTGTTATGGAGAGAGCAACGGGAAGGGAAGGAGTTTTAGAGGTCCAGGCAATTTTTTTCCAAATCAGATTTTTCTTTTTATGGTTTCACTCTTTGCTGAATTTATAAAGTAAAATGTCCTTGAAACTGTTGAATTCTTTCTAAAGACAAACACTTTCTGGGGTAAACGGAGCTGAGCGGTTGGATACAGCTCCTCTGTGGGACTTTTTTTTTATTTTGAAAAAAAGTCTTAATTTACCCAGAAATCCCTGCACCACACTCTGGCTTAAGACAGTCAAGAACTAGACGGAAGTATTGAATTTTTTAAATGTAAACTCAAAACGTTCCTCTTCAGCCTGGCTTTTAATCAAATATGGTTTTTAGTCATTAGTCACTTTATTCAACTTATTTTATTGTAATTATGTACTATTTTATCTCTCTTTTATTATTCATTTTATTATGTTTGTTTTTGTTTTCTACTGAAATTAGAGCTTTGTAAATCTATTTTATTGTATCTCACTGTCAGCTTTTGTCCTTTTCTTTTTAGCTTATCAGTGGTCTGTGAAGCTCTTTGAACTGTACTAACCTGTGTGACAAGTGCTATTCAAATTAAGTTTGATTGATTGATTACTTGATTGATTGACTGACTGACTGATTGATTGACTGCTATTTGTTATATAAGACAGTCAAATTCTATCTTTGTGAAACCAGACCCGGGATCAAACCTAGCTCAGGCCACTTCACTGTTATGATACTGTATACTATCATATTGCATATATGTCAGTGTTTGTGAGGCAGAAAAAAAAAAAAATTATCCTATGTAACTTATTTCAGTTTGTCCTTCAAGCCATGATGACTAGTTAGACAGTACTAACCTGACTTATTTTAACCCAACACTAATTTAAAGGAAACCATGACCTAATAATGATGTCACACTATTTCTCAGATCTGTCTCTGCTTTCACTCACCTGACAGAAAATGAGCATGTTCCAGATTTTACAGCCTTTCCTGTAAGCAGTCAACTTTTTCTCTATCTCATCTGGAGGGAGGGAGAGAGAGAAGGAGAGAGAGGGAGAGAGGGAGAGAGAAGGAGAGAGAGAGGTGTCACTTTTCCCACTCAGCCAAAATGGTGAGACACATAAACTGGCTGTCTCTTGAGACACACACACACACACACACACACACGCACACGCACACACACTCGTGAGTAGATAAACAATGAGTCATCTCTGCTCGCCAACAAGCTCAAACGTATTCCACCCTGGTCTTTTTCCACATTTTCACTGGGAGAGTAATTTTCACTTGAGAATTAACGTTTTAAAAAAAAACAAAAAACACATGTCGCACTCACCGAGGATGTCATCAAACGTGGCGCGTTCATGGTCCTTCAAATGCAAAATTAAAACAGAATTATTATTTAATGAAATCCTGCTGAGCAGAAAAGGATTCAAAAGGGAAACAACCCGCTCATTTTCTATAAAGAACATTAGTTCATTTACAGCCATTAACAGAATCACATTTCATTTAGACATTAGTGCTGATCATACAACCTGCTAGACGTACAACAAAAGAACAAGGAATTTACATTTCTATCCCCTAGACTGGTTGGTTCCCAACATCTGGCTCGGAACCCTTCCAAAGGGTCGCAAGGTGAAGTAAGGAGAGGTCAGGTGATTAACCCATTTATACCGGATGCTGCGCAGCGCAACATCGCCCCTCCCGCCGGTTGCTGCGTAGCGCAGCATTGTTGATTCCTCGTCATTTTCATGACACATGCAGCATATAAATATGTAAAATATGTATAAATATATCAAGAAAATGATGAGGAATCAACAACGCTGCGCTACGCAGCAACCGGCGGGAGGGGCAATGTTGCGCTGCGCAGCATCCGGTGTGAATGGGTTAACAGGGTAGGTTGAGAACATCTTTTTTTTCCCCCTCAGACTAGATTAAAACTTTACTTTTTGAGAATTACAGGACAATTTCACATTTTCAGGAGCAAGTACTTGTCCGACTCCCTCTAAAACGAGTCTAATTCTCAGTTGTACTGAAGTTGACAAAGTACAGCTGAGAAAAAAAAAGACATTCTTGATTTTTTTTTAAAGCTTGGGGATGACTTGCAGTTTCATACATCAAACATGTTTTTGTGACTTCATGTGGAAGAACAAAAGACCTGCACTTCCTGCAAAGCTGTCATCATGCATAATACAGGCTCTCCCACACAGCTGTGGACTCTTACCAGATGCTTTAACTGAGTAGAACATGAACATCCACTTTAATAACCATTCTCAGTGCAGATAAAAAAAAGAGGCCAACACACACATCAGTGTGTGAGTCTTTGTTCAGTCTGTTCCTCTTGTAATGTAATATATCAACACATATTGAATTTCCATATATGACATATATGTACAAATTAAATAAAAACGTGTAAAAATTTGGTATTAAACCTATTTGTGTTTATTTGAAACTAATGAACGGCTGAATAAACGGATACAGCACAAAGTGTCATAAACTGAATACAATGGTGGTGTAAAGCTGCTGATAGCTGATACTCACATAAAGAATGGGGATGATGGAGGGGTCATCCCTGCGGATGATGTTGGGAACATATTCAGCCTTTGGGACCTTGGAGGAGATCAGCTGTGGAAAACAGGAAACAAAGACATCTCAGCGCAGGTAAGAAAAACTTGATGAATATATTTTGTACAGCACTTGACTCAGGCAATTTGAAAGATGATTACCAGGACCCTCACCATGACTTTTGGTGGGATGAAGTCCTCTCCTTCACAGGCTGCTCTCTCCAACTCCCTCTCCTCCTCCCACTCAGCATCCTCATCCAGCCCTTCATCTAGAGTCCCTGACGAGGTCTGAAGCTCACCACCTGGCTCAAACACACACACACACATACACACGCACAGGAACAAAAGGGCGAGATGAAAGGATAACACACAAATGCGATTAGAGAAGGTGCTCCATTTAAGAGTGCTGCACCTGTTATTTTATTTTTCCAGCACAGAGGGAGGAGCAGAGCAGTTAAAATCAGACCACACAATAACACCCTCCTGATGCGCTCAGCCAGATGCAGACGGCTACGACACAAAGCAACAGGCAGAGGGACAACAGGTTGAAAGATGTGGACGGCTGTGTGGATGGATGGCAACAGCCATGTACAAGTACAAAGAGGAGGAGTGCAAACACACACACACACACACACACACACACACACACACACAGGCAGAGTGGAGCTGTAGGCCACACACACTGTAAACAGATACACTTTAGTCACTCAGTGACTACAATGGGAGCGGATGTGCGTGTCAGTCTGTCTGTTACTGTATCCTTGTGTGTGTGCTTGTTTTGATGTGAGTGTACCCATATGTTTGGTTGCGTGTGCGTACTTGCATGCATGTGTCTGTACAGCACCTAGTTGTATATTCTCCCAATTGCAAAAGACTATGTATGTTTCCATATGTATTTCTTTATGCGTCTGCGCCGCAGGCATATTGTTTTCAGGTTGTCCGTCCCATTCCTGTAGACACATTTCTCAGTAACGCCATGATGCAACCTCTTCAAATTTGGCACAAACATTCACCTGGACTCAGTGATGAACTGATTTGATTTTGATGGCTAAAGGTCAAAGTTCAAAGGTAACGGCGACCTCACAAAACATGATTTTGGCCATGTGAACGCAATAGCTCGAGAACTCCTCAAAGGAATCCCATTAAATTTGGTACAAATGTTCAGTTGGATTCACGGATGAACTGATTAGATTTTGGTGGTCAAAGGTCAAAGGTCAGTGTGACCTCACAAAACACTTTTTAGCCATTACTTAAGACTTCACACAGCAATTATGACAAAATTTCACACAAATGGTTAATTTCAAGGCGGCAATCGTATTTTTTTTTTTAGTGTGTAAGCAAAACTGCACTGCATCTATAGTAATGTCTGCTTATGTGTTTAAGAGAAGAGTCTGCAGAGAAAACTGTGTGTGTGTGTGTGTGTGTGTGTGTGTGTGTGTGTGTGTGCACCGTGTAGAGTAATTGTCTGTGTCTTTGTTCATGTCTGTGAGTGATGGAGATTGTGTCCACTCACTGTCTCTGGAGTCATGCAGTGAGTCAGGCTTGACAGGGGTGGGGTCACTCCACGAGCGGCTGAAGCTCTTGGCTCGACGTTCGGCAAAGGCTGATGGAGTTAGGGGGGGAAAAGAGTCACTCACATGCACGCGCACACATACACACACACACACACTCTCCAAAGCATAATTGACCTCACAAGTCAAGTGTTCGGTCTTGCTGAGCCAGTGTTTGTGAAGAAGATAAACACAAAAGTGATTTTAATGTCCCTGTCACTGTACATAACTGACCTTACTGTTTTATGTTAACATATGGCTAAGTGGTATTTAAATTACTTTAATTGATTGATTGAAATTTTATTGTGTTAAAATGATATTTTCATCATTGTATTGTCTAATTTATTGATTCCAATCAAACTCTAGTGACAATTTAACAAAATGTATTAAAGGGCAACTCCTTCCTGCTTTTTCAGATACATTTCTGGCTGAATACTCAGCTAAATCAAATTAAAAAAGTAAATAATTTGGCAGAAAATAATAAGTTTCCAAAGCTCAAGGTGATGTCTTCAGTCCACATAAGACAAAGATGAGCAGCAAAATCTTGTAGTTGAATTTGGAATCTGCAAATATTTGGCATTTTTACTTGAAAAGTTACTTAAACTGTTTAATTGATCACTAAAAATAACTTATAACTTCTGACAGAACATTCAGAACAGCAAATTTGTTTTTATTATTTTTATCATATGGTACGGTAGATATCAATATATCTCAATATATACAGAGACATAGCATTCTTACTAATATCGAGGTATCTGTTTGTAGAAAAGCTCCAGCCAATGGTACAAATAGGTGTTTCATCTCAGTCTGGGTTAATATCACAATGGTTTCCAAAGACTATAACTGGTCAGGCTATCTGTATATGTTTCCTGTCCTATTCCTGCAAGATGGGGTTGAATTCAGAACTATTTGCATATTTTCTTGTCTAGGCTTCTAAACTCCCTCCTTCACCCAGTCATTTGAGTGTCAGGATATGATGAATTTTCATTTTGAATATAGAGGGACTGTCAGTCAAACTTGGAAAATGGTGGTACCAAAAAAAAACTTAACTCAAAATGAACTCAGAGGTGTCACAGATACAGCAAATACACTGATGCATGGAAGTGCTCAGTCGATCAGTCATAAATTACAGCACGCAACTTTCCTGGATATGATCTATATGATAAATTCTTTTTATAAAGCAAATGTGAGTGAGTGCACAGTCACAGTAACACACGACCACTAACATACTGTACACATACACCAGTCGAAACGAGGAGTTTGAGGAATACGGTTTCATGAACATACTGTAGCAAAATATTCCCATGCACATGCACAGTACTCCATGCATAAAGCATGAAGAAGTTCTGATACACCTCAGTTCCGATGTTATGATGATACACGCTTTAGAGCATGGATGCATGACAACGTAGTGACATCAGAACACATACAGTACATGCATAAAGAGTAAACTGAAGGACTTACTCTGGGCCTTCATCCTGCGGCTGCCCACCATCCGAAGGTGTTTCCGGAAATTTCTTCCATTTTAGGGAAAGAGAAGGAGGAAGACAGAGATATCAGGACGTAGGGACGGAACCAGAGAATGAAAGAATGTCTCAAACCAACAGACACGAGTGAATACAAATCACAGACAGAGGACAAATCTGAATCCCAACCACAGATGTCAGGCAGTTCATTACATAATGAAAGGATTACTTCAACTGTTTTGGGAGTTTTGGCCACCGGTCAACATCTTCAACAAGTGACCAGATGTGATGAGAAGACTGGTACCAAAATGACCTCTGAGGCTTCAGTGGAAGCTCTGCACTGTGCACATCAAGCCCCCAGGAACTGAGCTTTGCTATGAAGCGATTTGGTTTTAGTGGCTGCACAGAGTATTGCAACTTCTATGTCAATTGTGTGATGCACACTGACCCAAAAAGCATGTTTCCCATGCACAAACATTGTGCTGACCCCTGTTTGCACTGAAAAGATGCTAAAGTAATTATTTGTGCTGCTGAATTTGTAGAACCTCTGCAATAGCAAACTGGCCTCATATCAAGACCAGAGATATTCACGCAACTTGCAAATGCAGCTGCAAATGCACGTTTGATAGAAAAACACTGAGTCTGAAATGTGACAAACCACTGCTACCAACATTAGCATTATAGCTAAGGTTGGCTGTTTAGTACAGCGCCACTGGGATTTTCAGGATGGTTAACACTTCGCTGCGCAGGACCCTTGTTTTTCTGCTGTAAAGTGAATTCGCCATCCGATGTGAAGGCTAATAACCAACTCTAATAAGCATGCTCTATGGGCCCAAGAACACAGAAGCATAAAGGAAGTGTGAAGAAGCCCATGAAGCTTTTTTTTTTTTGCATAATGCGCCCAGTGACTATTGGAATGAATGGAGCGCCTCTGAATGTGGTATCCAGGTCAACTTAAAACAGCCCTGGTGCACATGCTAATGGTTGGCATACACTATGTTACAGATTAACTTGCAAGCCTCAGTTTGTACCTCTCATTTATCAACAAAACCATCAATGATTCTGAAAAAGGAGTGCTTGGTAATACTTTAACCATTTGAATAAGACAAATATTTCAGCTGCTACATTATAACAAAGATTTTTTTTAACATTCCCCAACAGCAGCTGTATTACATTCAAACAATGATGGTAGCCAAAACTTATGGATGCCCTTGTGTAATTGCGAACATTTATTATCATCTACATGGATGTACTATATTATTTTATACATAAAATAATATAATGTAAAATACCATTTTTTTTATACATAAAATAATATAATGTAAAATTACATTTTATATGTAATTGGAAGACGGTCAGATGCTCAGCTCTTTGACTTTAATATAATGTTAATACACAAGATGCACTGACCTGTACTGACTGGAGTTAGCATCTTCCCAGCTAACTAGTGTGGTGTTAGCTTGCCTGCCACAGTAGTAGCCCTGTGAGATAACTAATTGCTATAATTTTTTGAGTCATGCCTGATAATTGCTACACAGTGCATGCTAATGTCTTAGCATTCAAAGAGGACACAATTATCTCTCTGACAGTAAAGTGGTTTTGGCATCAGTTGTTGTTTTAGACACCGGCCCAAACTCCCCAAGAATCCAGTGTATTGCTTTAAATGATGAGTGTTTGAAGTTACTCAGACATGTCATCTCAAACTTTTTCTATACTCCTTTAAGAGTCAAGTCAAAAGAAAAAATCTTAAAAAGGAACAACTGTTTTTGGACTCATTTAAACAGGCTATTTGAGACAGACATTGGATACATGATCATCATCAGTTTTGGAAATCTCAGAATTGAATTTGTATCTTAAAGTTGACTCTTTTCCCTCTTCATCTTTCTTTCCTCTCCCCTCTCAGCTGGTGACTGGCATAGCTTTTCCAGAGTTATGCCTCTGATTATAAAGTCCTAGATTTTATTTTTTTCATGAAAGCCGATGTATGATTCATGATTTGTACCAGCAGAGAAAAGCAGCAAAACAGAGAGAGAGAATCTGAAAAGGAAACAGAAAGGAAGAGAGGAAACAGAATACAGAAACAGCTGTAAGTGGTAGCAAGTGGAACAATGTGCGGCCTAAAACACAGCTTTTTATTATTCATCAAAGCTTGTCTGACTGTGGGGGTTCAGTGTAGTGCAAGTAGGCCTCGCGCTCTCTTAAATTTTTGTAAATCTTTAAGTGAGGCTATGAAACTAAAAGCTTCTTGCAGCAGAAAGTACACACTGCCTCAGTTGGGGTATTGCAAAATTACTGGTGCTGAAAGGAAAACGGATTTTACACATGAAGATCAGTTTACTCACAACCGGGAGAACTAATCAGCCTGTGAGCTTTGTCGAGTCAGAGATGATGTCATCACGGGTGATCTCAGACTGGGCTTGAGACTACACATTTTTAAGAGTTTGAAAGACATGGGCCGTAGGGATTTACTACGCAGGGAGGGTCTAACAAAGAGAAGCTATTGAGTTGCATTATGGGAAATGTAGAGTTCAGTACTTTTTGAGAATGACTCTCTTTCTATAGATATGATGTTTTTATATAATACAAGACATAGTATGTGAAATAATCGGTCAACACCATGACTGAGTGTTTCCACCTTGAACTGCAGTGAACCAAAACAGATTCACACAGCCAGGGTTTCATACATCACAAACCTAATGAACCAATCCTGTCAACTTGTGGGGACGGGGGGCAGGGCTAAATAAACCTGAAACCTTGTCAGTACAGAGAGCGAGAGTTAGCAATGGCACAACCACTAACACTGTGTCAGTCACTGCCAGTTACAAGCTAACAAACAACATAAACAAATAAAAGATGCTAACTACGCTAACTGTTCTGATACGTCTGCTAGTCTCTGATTCTGGTATCAACAGTCTCCTCATCTGAGTCTGGGTCTGACTCAGTCTCTCTGATGTTTCCTCCTCTAACCATCTCGATACTCTGCAATTTCACCAGTCACTGAAACCTTGTCAGTACAGACAGCAAGAATTTGCATTAGCACAGCCGCTAACACCCTCACCCTGCCAGTTAAAAGCTAACAAACAACATGAACAAATAACAACGCTTACCGTTCTGACACATCTTTCTGGTCGCCGATTTTGGTCACTACACATTGGAGTGGAACTTAAAGCAGATACAGCGTGGTTGGCTCTTATACCAATCCTTAGGATCAACTCTGGACATGTCTAGGTGCATTGTTACTTATATGATACTGGATACCAAGTATTTTGTTTCAGATTTGTGGAGCTGTAATTTTAATCACACATTTGTTGTGTCGGCAGGGTGATGAAGCTTTGTGGTGAACTAAACAATGGACTGATGTGAAACAAAGCCACGTGAAACTGCTGATACGGCTGGCCCACTACCCCACAGCTCATTATTTTTAATGAGCCCCACCTCTCTAGTAAGTCACTGCTATCTTTTCCACTTCATAACACTGAAGGACATCACCATCAAGTAAAAGCATCACATTTGTGCATTAAAAATAAAAGAGAGCCAACATTCAAGCTAATATAATAGTGTAACCCTAACCAAACAGCAATGAGGTTCACAAAAATGTGAAAGTAAATGCAAAGCTGACACCGGTCCACGTGCATGTTTTGTTTGTCTGAAGCTATTTTGTGTTCAGGGTGCAGTTTGAAGGCAAAAACATGTTGACGTGTCAGTGAAGATTGCAGGAGTCGAGGAGGAAGAGCCTAAAATAGAGGGATGACTCAGAGCAGAGGGGGATCCATCAGTCAACCAGCGTTGTATTTTCATACTTAGCGACAACAGCTTTTGAAATCACTAACACCCGTGAACCAAGACGATCGAGTCAAATTCAGTGTGTTCGTGAGTACGTGTGTTTCTGCCATTCTGCAACTATCTCACCCGACTCTCTCCGTGCCGCTGTGACCTTTCCAAAGGCTTTGCAGAGGAAATACGTCTTGCTTATTCAAACATGCGTAAATAGATTTGTGCAGCTGAGATGTAACTTTCTATTAAAAGCATTCTGAGAGTTTGTCACACAACTCCGTACATACACACACACACACACACACAAACAAAGAAACATAATTCTCCTGCGCTGTTTGAAGAACTGGCACAACAAACACACACACACAGGCTCACACAACAAATGGCATGTCTGATTTGTTGGTGGATGTGAGGTCTGTTGCCAACTATTGATTGATTCGTTCACTTTGAGAGCCAGCCACAGAGCAGTGAGCTACGGCCCTGTATTGATAGACCTTGCTTTTACTCGTCAGTGTTCAGTGAAGAACACTGATTAAACCTGCCACTCACAGCCTCCAGGATTCACAGCACACACACACACACACACACACACACACCACAGGACATTGTTAAGAGGTTTGTGATGGCCTTATAACAGCAGTTGAAGACAGGAGTGAAAAGACTGTTTTGTTTTATGTGGAAAAGTAAATGGTCACCAGTATGTAGATCGAGGCAAAGACAAATGCACAAATAGTGTGTGTGAGTGTGTGTGCGTGTGACTGTGTGTCAAGAGTCAACGTTTCAAACTGCTGAATCATCAGAATAACAGCAGACAGAGGGTGTAGAGTGAGTCACTGTGTGTTTGAGTATAACAATAGAGATATTTGCCCCTAAGCATGAGATGATCTCATTAGCATTTGATGCAAAATAAATTAAAATAAATTAAGAGAATCGAAGAAGTGTTCCACATTACTTCCGTATTATTCTACAATTTAATACAAACTGACATTATCAACAAGCTTATTAACTACGGCTGTTCAGTTAATCGAAATATTATCAAAATTGCTATGTTGCCAAGGGCAATATCCAAATCACAGGAGCTGCAAGTTTTTTGATGAAGGGTAAAATGTGTCACAACAACAGACCATAAAAGAAGCGCTGTGGTGCTACAGAGACGCCCCGGCCTACTGCTCATATTCTCCAGATGTAAAGGAACGTGGTTGTGTGGAACAAGACCCAACAAAAATCACATCATCACTACTTTTTTTTTTTTCTTCAGTGAAAATGAACTGCAAAGTGACCATTCACACTGAAATCACGACTCACATCACAACAAACAATATATATCAAACTAATCTCAATATGATTTTCTTGCATATCATTCAGTCCAATTATTAACCATGTCTGATGTTATTGACATTTTTTTTTTTTTTGCAACATTTAACTCCACGATTCACTAATGCATTCATAGTTCACACAGTCTTTTCACATACTATCAGCATCATTTTCTAACATGTTTAATGTGTTTAGAAAAAAATCTCTGAATTTCTTTTACACAGACTTTAAATATAAAGAGACTGACGCCGGGAACACACCGCCCAAGTTGCTTGAGTATGGCGGCTGCCGTCGCTGAGCCGCTGCGGAGAAGCACATGTGTGTGTTCACACCGGCTGCGACTCTGCTGCTGCAGCTCTATCTCTCTATAGAGTTTGCAGGTTACTGGATTATTGGTTTTCTTTTCATCATAAATTAAATTCTTATTTATTTTTGACAGAAAACATCAGTAAAATGTCACTGTCTCCACGTGCAGCAGCTAAAATGGTTCAAAATATATTTATATTTCTTCACTACTCTGACATATTCAGATTCAGCCAAGATATAGACTACTATATTGGGAGATGTCAGTTTTATGCAATGTCATTATGACATGTTCCTGGCCTGGTGTCACGGGTGCGGCAGTGTTTCAGCGTTTCTGTTAAATGAGGAGAAAATAACGAATTGCTGACAAGATGAAGACAATGACCTACACAAGAGCTAACATGGGCACTCATCTCCTCTGCTATCGTCAAGACTTGACAAAGGAAAAGGACACACTGGGAAAAAAAAAACTGCCACAGGACCAAAAAGCACTTCTGAAATCATTTTCAAAAACTAGAAAGAAGAAATAGCCGCAGACAGCCATTTTCTGTAGATGAAAGCAGTGGCTTTAGAAAGTTGCTTACACTGCTGGAGGCAAAATACTAAGTTCACTCAAGACAACACTTCTAGTGTAGTCGTACTAAATCTCTACAGAGGAACAAGACTATATGTGATGGAAAGCTTGAGAGCAGCCAAATGCATTTTGCTGACAACAGACTGGTGGACCTGCTGCACACATCAGAGTTATATCACAATAAGAGCTCACATCATGAGGGGGAACTGGGAGATGGATGGCAGTCTTGCAAACTCACCCATAGATATCACTGGCAGCTGTATCTGAGAGTGGAATTTAGACTATATATTTCTCATTTAAGGTTTATATTTTATTATAGGGTTGTATTTATTTCATCTGTTTTGCTTTGACTTTTTAATGCATATATGGGTATATATATATATATATATATATATATATATATATATATATATATATCATTTAAACTAGTGCCAGCAAAAGGAAAAACAGGAATAAAGCACAACTATTCTGCAGTCATACATTCTTGTCAGACTGGGCTTGAACCTCCCACGTGTGTGTCACTGTTAAATGAAAATATGTAAATATTAATACATTACTGTATATCTATCTGAGGGAGAAAGTAACTATATTGACTTACAGAATGATTATGTGTATCAATTCATCTTTACCAGTAGTGTCTTTATATAATTCATGATAGAAATGTTTGATCCTGATTAGAGTTAGACTGTTGGCCATGATTTATTTATTCATAGTTTACTTATTAGTATTTTAAGTTTCCTTTGATTATGGTTTTATCTTAGATTGAATAGTTTTATTGAGACTGGATCCCAAAGTGTTTGTAAGCAAATAAAAAAAAGTCAGTGAATCGACATCGGAGCTGTCTGAGCCTCTTAGTTGGAGCTGACCGGTCGACTGCCAGCCGTTCACATCGCCCTCTACACAACGCAGAGACTGGAACTATCATGTCGTAGAAGAGATAATACGGGGTATTGTAAACTGTATACTCAGGAGCAACTGCACCCTGTTACATAGACCTGTTACATCACACTGTGAATTCTCAATTAAAAGCCATAATTAATGGCAGCAGGAACACATAAAGGCAGGTTACTAATGAAGTCCAGGTAAAAAAAAACATTGAGTGGAAGGATCTATACTGCAGTAAGTATAGTCAATACAACATAATGTACATTTCTGCAACCCTAATAAGAGAGTCACATGTAAGTGATGTTAAAGGACTGACAGTGAAACTCAATATTTCCTGCAGCTGTTTCAAAATAAAAGCCTGTCAGACACAGGAGGGAATATCAGTCACTGGAATGCTTTTAGTCTGAAAGATGCGTGCTGGAGGTTTTGACTTTCATTAACAATAGCGTATCAGGAGTCGAACAAAAGCACTGCAAAGTAGAGCAGGGTTCTCTCTGCATTTGAGCTAAGTAAAAACTCCACATACAGACACGGTCCATTAAGAAAAAAAAGAGATTTTAAGATATGATATCAGACTCATCAAGAAGAGTATTTCTTTGCTGTGTAATAGGGGAACTGTGACAGGGACAGTTTTGCACCACACAGGACAGGACAGGACAGCCGGGACACGGTACCTCTCCATCATGGTGGCTGCCTCCTGCTCTCTTTTCCGCCTCTTTCTCTCAGCAATGCCGCGGAAAGCCCTGCCGGGACGTCAAAGCGTTAAGTGGTTTTGTGGGGACATAAAGGTTTGATGTTTTAGCTGCACCTGACCTAATACCAAAGAATTTTTGTCTGAACCCAAACTGACCCGAGGGGGGGGGGGAATAACCTTTACAGAACTTATATGATGTAAGTCAGAAATCATTTATACTTTTAGTTTTGAGCTACAGTTTTTTTTTAATAGGTACTAGGCCTTACTAAAAGTGATAAAGCCCTCTGGGTCTCGTCGGGTTCGGGCATAAATATAAACTTCCAGTCAGGGTGGGAGGGGCAACAGTACAGGGTTGAGGGTGAGGGGTTTTAAGTCCATAAGGGTTAGTGCGGGGTTTGGTTAGCTTTGCTAAGTGGTTAGCGTGGTTAGAGGTAAAAGCACAGGGACGTTTTATCCACCATTGTGGATATTCTCACGTAGTACACACACACACACACACACACACACACACTAGGACCACAATGCAAGATAGAGGTCTACAAGACAAGCTTCGTAACCAAGAAACTGCCCATCCTGCGTAATCAATGCGAGTTAACTTTACTGCCAAGTTACCAGTATTAACCATTCAATTCCTAATCCTACGTCACCTCTGAGTCTTTATGTTCATTTTATTTAGAGACAAATTTTAAAGCATTATGTTTTGTGCGACTGTCTCGACGTCCATTACTTCTCATTCTGCCAGTGTGTACGTTGGTCTGCGTGGGTGTGCCTTTCCCAAAGGGGACAGTAATGGCTCTGACAGGGTGTCAGACATAATGAGAATCATCCGTGACAGTGTATGTCTGAAAAGAAGTCTTGTCCTGTCCGTCACTTTCTCCCTGAAAAGATGAACATGTTGCCAGACTCTTCCTTTAGCCTCTCACACTTTCCACCATCTGCCATCAGCTCTGAAAGCTCACAGCGCTTTTCCTCTTTGTTGCCACCAAGCAATCCAGCAGATTTCCCAACCAATCCAACCCTTCCTGTGAATTAAACTCCGGACCTATTTGGTAATTTACATCAAATTAAACATGAGAAAGAAAGAAAACAGCCGAGAGATTTCAGAGAAACGTTAACGTAGCTCACATCAGCGAGATAAACACAGCGACCGACCAAATCTGTCGTCTGTTACAGCTTCTTTAGACAATAAATAATAATGTCATTTACATCACAACTCTTGAAAGTTGCACTTATTCAAATTCCACTTTTGGATTTAAAAACTTTCCCCCACCCCCTAGTGTTTCCAAGTGGTATTAATGTTGGTGCCGCCTTCACAAAGACCGGATCGCTGTCCGTTTTCCTCAAAGCTAATGCTCAGGATAAAGGCAGTTTAGTAAAAATATTTGGTTATATTAATAAGTAGGCAGGTTTTGTTACTTCCTTAACTAGTGCTATCCTCTACCTGTTTTGGTTGCGCAGTGGCAGACGCGCATCCTTTGTGTCGTCAAACCTTTACGAGAAACCACTCTAAACACAGATGGTGTCCTTATTCTACAGCCATTACGTCGTGCAATCAACATTTATTTCCTAATAATGAAATATGAAAATGAAAATAAGTCTATTGCCACTTTAAAATGATTCAAATTTGAGTCCTATTCGAATCCTGTCTGCTATATTTACGTGAGTAGACTCCTCTCTTTTATAAAGCTAAAAGCAGCTTTAATGCTACATATATGAATACAAGTTGTTACTTATCCCATTCATCAGCTTCACCCGTGTCTATCTTTAGATGGAACAACAATGAAAGTGGTTTTGCTTGAAGTGATGCTTTGCTTTGGCCAATATGCTTTTCATGATGGTTGCGTAAGCTAATGGCTTTAGGCACACATTAAGTGTGTAATAAGCCATCTGTGTTGCATTGTGCTGGTGTGTAATATGAAAGAACACTTTAATTAAGCTACTGTCATTATTCAGACACAAGGTACCTCAATACTGCAGCGCTTTAACTTGATGAGCTATTTCTGCAACTCGTGAATATAGAATGTTCCTGTAAATTCAGTATCGCTGATTATCATTTCATTCCCACAGTATGTTCCCTGCACGTCACAATCTGTAACTTCAAACACCCAGTCCGGCAGACACTGAGGTTGAGGGGGTGAAGGACACAGCGGACTGAATAGCACAAAGCCACATGAGGAAAAAGGGTTAAAGACATGTTACCTAACTGACAGAGTGAGAAAAAGGGAAGAGCAACAAGGAAGAACAGTGGGGGCGGTTCAAAGAGTTACTCACGATATTCTACAGTCGTGGTTTGGAAAGCCGCCACATAGAGAGGAGAGGAAGAAGAGAAGACCAGATGAAAAAGAAGAAGTTAGCAACGGGGCCAGTCAGATACTCCACATACACTTCAGAGACTGCTTTATGTTCCAGTTCTCGACTTCAGGGAAGCAGAAAAAAAACTCACCTCGAGTGGGAAAAGTCCTGATCATAAACTCAACATGTTATTGAACAAGGACAGAAATCGAACTAGGACATGCACATTAAAATCAATGGTGGAAAAAGAGGAGAGGAACATACAGTATATACAGTATATGTCGAGGACTGTCCACAGGCAAAGGGTTTCTAAAGCAAATGTGTAATCAGTCAAACATTAACAAATCCTGTCAGATCATATTCGATTTACAAGACAGTGACCAACAATTGGAATCGAAGGCCCGTGTCAGGATCATATATCAGTCTGACCCAAAAAAAGGAACAGGGACAGATGGAAACAGATGGAGAAAGGGAGGAGAGACGCTGACATATGGAGAGAGAAGAGAGAGCGTGGGAGAGACGAGGGGAACGATCGTGGTGGGTGAGCTTTGACTGTTCCAGGGTCATAATTACAAGATCTGGGTGATAGGTGATAATTAACGAGTCACAAAGAGTGGAAGGCACTTATGTGTGTGTGTGTGTGTGTGTGTGTGTGTTTTTAGTTATTTTAGTCAACTGTCTAGATCGATGCACATCCTCTTTCTTAATCTGGTCAATTCCTAGATTATATTACAGAACTTGACGGTTTTGTTTGGAGCGATGCTGTATGTGAGGATACTAATGTAAAAAAAAAAAAAATCCCAAGTAAAGACATGGTCACACAAACATCTCAAGCAGTGACAATGTATCAAAGGATTGTATGGATGGTTTATTATCAAAATCGTCTCTTTGCTCTGTCTTGTTTGTATAATAATGCAGCACATTAAATTCTTAGTGTTAGACGTTTCAGTGTTGGTTCACCAGCTACTGGTGCACGATCAAGCATCTGCCGTCTAATGTGATAACGCAGCAGATAACTGAATGTTTCATGGAAATCTTTCAAATGTGGATACAAGTGCTCAACTTGACACAAATCCTCCTTGGGTATTACTCTTTTGATTAAAACACACTCCAAAATTCAAGATGGCCGCCGAATGTGGAAAGGAAATGTTATTTTTTGCAATACATTCATCCACTATTTTCTCATATGAATAATCTAGGCGTCAAATCATACATTTTAAAATTGTAGAAGGCAAAATTTAGTACACTGTAAAAAAATTAAATGAAAGTATATTTCATCATCATTGAAATCTGTTCCGTGGGTTCCGTGTTATATGCTGCACTATGATATGAGTAAAAGAAAGAAGGTTCTGTTCAGTTTCAGATTATACTTCTGCTATATATTCTTTAATTCATGCAGGAGACCAGTATTTAGGCCTGGAAGTGTAATGAAGAAATCGAATTAATACATTTTAAATTTTATTTTCAATTTGCGTGCATATGACGTGGGCCAGAATTAGAACAAAAGATGTTATTTTCATTATAAATTTGATTTATATAACATATAAATCGGGAACACAGTGTGCTCAACAAAAGATGATGAAACCAGCGTATGAGAAATGTGTTGAAAGCTCATTGCAGTTTTGTGGTAGAATGCTACATTTGAGCTTCAAGTCTAAGGTGAGGCCATATCCTGCGAACGTGGGGGTGGTTCTGTTAGACACAGAGATGTACAGTGTGGGAGTGGGAGTGAATTTCCATGCCATACTCACGCCTGCATGGTGGTGGTGGCCGTCTGAAAGCTGAACATATTCTCTTTAGGGAACCAGCTATTAGGAGTGTCCTCTGCAAAACACAGAAAACAAAAGGAAGTAGTGGCATCAGCAAGCAGAGCATTCAAACACAGGCCTTACAATTAGCGGAGGAGGCCAGTGAATGCAGGGTGGCAAGACGGTATTACGTAAGTGAAACATCTGAGGGTGAATGGGGCAACATATTCCTTGTTGTAGTGTTTTATTCCCTTAAATTTTAAGTTATATACAGTATATCAATATCAATACATCAATTTACACCCCCATGCATTTTCCCATCTATTTTTCTTTACCCCTGTCATCATTAGATGGTCTTTCCTCGCTGTACACCCTCTCCAGTTTCTTGCGGTGCTTCCCTCCATCCCGCGGTGAGGTATCCAGGTCAAGGGAGCGCTGGCTTTGGCATGGAGCTCGAATGCAGGCCACACAGTCTGGGGTGTAGTCGTCCCGCGACCCCCCTCTCCTCATTCCCCAGTCTCGGATGTTGTTGGCGTTCCCCGAGCTCTGCAGCGGCTGCGATGATGAGGGCAGGCCTCCGTGATGCTGCTGGGCATTGTGATGGCTGCTGCTGCTGCTGCGGTGGTGGCTACTGCGATGGTGGCTACCACGGGCGGCTGAGGCGGACGGTTGGCTGGTGCAGGATGGGTTGTGGTTGGCAGTGGCAGGTGCCTGGGACAGAGGCTGCTCCCTGGAGCCCTTCAGCACCTCCAGCTCCAGGCTCTCCTCAGTGCCACGGCCCCCCAGGGTCATCCCTCCTTCCCTGGTGATTGTGTAAACCCTCGCCGGCTTTACCGCAACACCCCCCTCTGGGCCTCTGGCGCCTGGTGGGTCCTCTGCAGAGAGGCTGCGCTCAACAGAGAGTCGACGTTTGGAGGGGCCCAAAGGTGCTGGAGCCTGGAGGGTGTTGACCAGAGGCTGAGACTGTGGATGAGCACTGGGATTGGATTGGCTGGACTGGTTGGATTTAGCTACGGGCAAACAGCAGCTCCGTGGTGGGAGATTGTTGTTATGCAAGCGGCTGACGTCGGGAGAGTCACAGTCGTGGCCTGGGAAGCTGTCAGACAATAGATGATCTGGAGATAGAGGGAATGAAGGAGAAAGAAGATAGAGAGAAGTAACCCACAGGCAAAGAAAGTGAGAGATAAATCTGTAATTTATACAGCTCTTGTATATGAGCATCACATAAATACCTAAAATGTAAATGTAAATGAACAGAGAGATTGTTTGTGTCTCCTTAGGGTTCGTTGGCTTGGCAGCAGAGTTGTAAACATTATGAGCCAGCAAAGCTTTCAAGGAGGATGACAAGGAAAAGCAGAGTGGTGGCTGAGTGATAGAAAAAAGAGCAACAAGCGGAATGAGAAAAGATTTAGAAATGGATGAGCTGGTTCAGTGCATGAAGAGCTCTGGCAGAAACAAAAGCTTCGACGTCCTGGACGATCTTGGAGGAAGGACGCTCCCTCTCATGGAGTCACCAGCTGCAAGGCTTCAGGCTTGTAAATAAGTGTTAGCTCATGGGAATGGGTGAGTTTTTTTTTTCATGCTCTCTGTGCTGTAGAAAAACAAGCATGGCACATGCACATGAGCAGCTTTACTATTTTGGGTAGGCTTCTTTTTTTAAAGGTACAAAGCCAGAAAGTGGCAAAGCGAATTGTCATCCGTGCAAAAAAAGTGTTAGAAGGTGTTAGAAGCTTTGTAACTTAGCGATGCTAGAGGTGCACAACTGTAGCTGGAGAGCTCACGTCTACACACAGAGTAGATGCTAACATACTGGCGCTAGTCAGTCACAACAACTCTCTCACAAACGTGTCCTGGTACACATTAAAGGGCCGCTTGTCAAGTGACGCAGGCGTACGGTCTCATTCACAAACAAATACATGTCAGCCCACAGAGATATGTTACAAATGTCACATTCTTGGTTTGCCTGGAGTAGACCCGGACTGTGTCTGAAATCACTTACTACTCCCTATATAGTCCACTATATATTGAGTTTTTGTAGTGGTGTCCAAATGTATAGTGAAAATTATTATATGCTATAAAGTGGACTCATCGTATCCCACAATGCATTGCACAAGTAGTGTACCACCCGTCACTAACCAGGCAATATACACCATTCATGCATTGCGCATGCTCTGAAAGGCAGAAAACCTGTGCAGAGAAAATCACCTGAGTAGTGTCTTTTTAATGTTACCCATGAGCTCACTATCCAGTCCTCCACACTGGACTCCCTGGATAGTGAGTAGGGAGGAGTGAGTGATTTGGGACACAACTCCAGTCTGTATTGTTTTGACTTCTTCTTCTTTTAACTTATGGCAGACTTGGCACAGGAAGTACATTGCTGTTAAAAACAACATTGTATTTGGTCTTTGCAAACAGAATTGATGTACGTGTTTATTTGCATATAGAGCGGGGAAGTGAGAGCCGATCACAAGTGGTCACTCGAGACGCATGTGGAGACCTATTCTAATACCAGGTGTGAAGTGAGGTCCACCTGTGATCACACCACCCGAGATGCATGTTAATGCCAGGTATGAACGGGGCCTAACTGTCAGTTAGCAAGACAATTAGTTGTTAATAGAAAAATAAGCAATTAACAGAACAATACTTTCCAATAGTTTAATCAAAAAATGGTTCAAATTTACAAAAGTTTTATTTTGACACAAAAGATTCATGCAGGTTCCTCAACGAGTGAATCTGCTGAAAGTGGCCATCAGTGATGCGCATGAACGTGTTCACTGAACGGCGTTCAGAACTAGCTGTTTTTTAAGTGTGAACTGGCACAACACTGGTGGCCATTATATTGAAAAGAACAGATTCTGCTGTTTTAAATGCTGACAGAGTCCATGGTATTTACTCTCTCATGGATCAGTAGTGAGGCAGGTACATCTTCAGCGGAGTGTGAAATTGACAGCAACAATTAGCTCGATGCATGTTGCTGTCAAGATACGACTGCAGGTAATTTTGGGGATCTGGTGGAATGGAACATCTATACATCACAAACAAAACGTATTAACAAAAGGTGTCTGAAGACAGATTAACTCTGCACTGATGACTGATTTAAGCATATTAGAAGTCTATTAGAACTGTGAAGTCTTTTTTCCGGTTGTGAGTAATGCTGTATGAGAAAGAATATGTTAGCCTCCTGGTTTTGGTCTTCCTTGCTTAATGTTAAAGTGTTGGTTGTTAGATAACAATTTTATTCCCAGTGTGTGTGTGTGTGTGTGTGTGTGTATGTGCGTCACCTACCTGCTCCGTTGCGGTTCTCTGGATTGGTATTGGACAGGTATTCTCCGAATGCTCTGGCTGCTCTGTAGAGACACAACAAATGCAGCAGTTAACCCTGATCCCTACTGCGTAGCCACTATTAGCAAACACAGAGGAGTGACTCACAGAGTCAAGGTTTCACAGGAATTTAGCCACATAAACAGTCTGTCTGTGCTTTTTATCGGCGAGGCCTCTTCATGCTACCAGTCAAGTAGATTACACCACTACAGCAGTGAGTAAGAGGCGATTTTAGTGTTGGTGTCCTGAATCACTCTATAACAGCCGTCTCTCACCAAGGTAACAACGTGTTCTTATATAGTGACTGCAGGACTGGGAAACAGCTTGGGAGCTACAGCTTGCCTCCCCTGCACAGCTGATAGGCCCCATAGGGGACTGTTACATTGCATGTGCCAGCCATAAAGCCAGGAAATAAATTGAAGCACGTACACATGAGGCAGTGAGGAACTGGCATGGTGTGCAGAACGTGTATGTGGCAGACTGTCTCCGGTTTATAAAATTTACTGCCTTCTCTCACATGTAATTCTCCTCACATGATGCTGTCAGGTTTTACCTAAAGAGATTTAATAGGTATGTTGTCCAAAGTACCTTATGCAACCATGAGTGCTTTTTCAGCATTGGTGGAAACAAAATGCCACACCCTGCACTGCTACAGGACCATATCTAGAACCACACTGAAACTAAGAACCTATTCTAGAGTGCTGCAGAAAAAAGGCTGAATGCACCACATGCGAAGGGGGAAACAGCCTTGAATTACTGTGATTAGCTCATGAACAATAGTTGAAGCTCTGTGCCTCTGAAGTCACAAGGCCAGACCTTTTTCTACAACACTTCTCAGCATACAGTAGAACCAATCAACACTATATTGATCAACACTATACAATCACCTATACTGTACGACGCAGGCGGTATATCTGGGTCTTTACACAGGCTGTAAGGGATCCAAGTGATAAGTGAGTGCTAAATTTGAAAGTTTCAAAGTATACGTGTACTCGATATGCAGATATTGCGATTTCAGTTGCAGTTCATTTTCACTAGAAAAATCTAAAAATGCTGATGATGTTATTTTTGTTGGGTCTTGTACCAAACAAACATGTTCCTTTAGGTCTGGAGAATATGATCAGTAAGCCACACCACATTGCTTAATGGTGCCAACAATGCACAACATTTTACCTAAAAATCGCAGCTCCTGCAATTTGGATATTGCACTTGGCCATATTGCAATTTTGATTATATTTTGATGAAAAGTGCAGCCCTGAATGAAACTATTATAAAAAAAGGGAAAAAAAAGGGGCATGAATTTTGATTCTGTCTTTCTGTAGGTACTGGTAATATCTGTGTGGGCAGTTTTGTTATTTAGCTTCAGTTCCAATTATTGCTGCTAACTTAGTAACATTGTTGCTAAATTTGCAGACTTCATGAGATTATTAATTGCTTTTTTTTCTATAAAAAGAGCTTAGCAGCAAATCTAGCGCCTTTTTGGCCAGACCTTAATTCAGGGATCAAGTCAGTTTGGTCTCAGGCCAATTTTTTTCTAAACCATTAGATGACGGGCCAGAACATAATCAAAGACTAATTTAAGAAATTCCTTGATAAAAATGCAACTGCAATATGCTTTGTCACTGTTCACATGTGTGGCGCTGTGGCCCACAGTCACATATTAAACGATTGACTGATTTACTGAACTTGTGTTATTTTTTTCATATAACACATTGTATGGCCGCCATATCTGTCAAGCAAGCAACAAAACCCTTGGAACTTCCTGTCACAACCTTTCAGAATGAATCTCACAATTGCTGCAAAAAAATCTTTTATTTTGTCGTCAAAATCGCGAAGATGGGGGGCACAGCGGTGGCTCACCAGTAGAGCACGTACCACAAAGGCTTTATCCTAACTGCAGTGGCCTGGGTTCGAATCCAACCCGCAGCCCTTTGCTCCGTATCATCCCCCCTCTCTCTCCTTGACTTTCCTGTCTCTCTCTCACTGCAACTATCAGATTAAAGGCAAAAAATGTCAACAAAAAAAAACAAAGTTTCAAATCGCTAAGAGGAAGTGATTCTATGGGATAGAAGAAGATACTCTACAACAAAAAATGACGCATTACAAGCAGTGCCAATGGTAAGACATACACTTCCTATCTCCTAAGGGAGCACGGTCATGATTGCTTGTTCATGTCAGTACATAACAACAATGCAATACAACACTATATAGTAGGAATTTATGCGTGCTCGTTTTTTATCACGTTCACTTTTCCCATTGGAATGAACGGACTCAGACCTGCTGCTGGGTCTCCTAAAGGAGCGGGGAGGAGGAGAAACCCTTGTGACACAGTTACAGTAAATTACCGTAAGTACACCGTGTTCTTTCTCAGCTGTCAGCGCAGTGCAGCCTGCGGCCTGATACATGACTGTGTCCGTCATTCACTTTCAACATGGATAAAAGAATAATAATCATTCATCAGGTGGGGGGAGATTCTCTCTTTGGACATTATAGCTAAATGTGGGACTGTCAGTCTGATTTTGTAAGATTAAAAAAAATTTTGCCCGCGGGCCACCTGTTGCCACCAACTGCCACAATTCATCTATCTTGAAGAGGGTCGCTAATATCTCTTAGCTGAAATTGCTCCCGTGCAGCAGCAGTGTTTTCTCTTGGCTGACTGTGTTCAGTGAACAGCGGAGGGCAGCAGCACGCTAAGTCAACCTGTCATCAGCCAGACAGAAATGTGAATGGCTTGTCAATGTGCGTAACTAACAGCCAATTATTGATTCTCATCGTTTGTTTGGGGAACGCCTTCTCCTATTTTATTATGCCTCTGCGCCGGCAACAGCCAGAGCCAGAGGCATATTTTTCTCGGGTTATGCGTCCGCCCCATTGTCATGGACTCAATATCTTATCTTGACAGAACTTCTTCAAATTTGGTACAAACATTCACAAAGACTCAAGTGTGAACTGGCTGGATTTTGGTGGTCAAAGGTCAAGGTCGTGGTAACCTCACGAAACACGTTTTTGGTCTCATGAATGCGATTTCTCAGTAACGCTTAAAGAACTTATTCAAATTTGGCACAAACATTCATTAGGACTGATTATATGGTGTATTGGTGGTCCAAGGTCAAAGGTCATCTGTCAAGGTCAAGGTGACCTAACAAAACGCAGTTTTGGCCTCTTGAATGTGGTATGTCAAGGCCACCTTGAGGAAATTTGTTTAGATTGGCACAAACATTCACAAACTTGGACTCAAAGATGAACTGATGTTCAAGGTCACTGTGTTCTCATGTTCTTCTGAATGCAATATACCAGGAATGACCAGAGGGAAGTTCATCACTTCTGTCTCCCTGTGACCTAAAAAAAAAAAACATTTTTGGCCATAACTCACAAATTCACACACTAATTATGACACTATTTAACTCAAACGTCTATAAGGACAAAATTAAGTGATAACATTTTATATCCAAATGGTCAAAGATCAACTTCACTGTGACATCGTAATGTTCCGCAAAAGCACTTTTGGTGATTATTCAACACTGTAACTCAGGAAGAGGAGATTGTGACCATATTTCCTCTTGGTAACTTGGCTGGTTACCGGGGTAAACAATCACAAGGCAGTGATTCTGGTTTTAATTTTGTTTGTGTTCTCAGTGATTTAACTTGACAATTTTTCTATTCATGACACCTCAGTTCCACAGTCTATACAACAGCCGACATAAAGTTTTTGAAATTAGAGGTAAGTTGTTCTGTAGTGTTATTATTTTATAGTCATATACACATTTCTCCAGCTGAAATACCCACTATGTTACACGTCATAAAAGATGTGGGCCACACACACACACACACACACACGCACACACACACACACACACACACACATCTATAGAGAAACAGTAAAGCCTGTAATCACTTTCCTCCCACTCACTACAACGTGGCATTCTTGCCATCTGCACACACAGATACGCAGACAGACTCACACATCCTCAGAGTCTGCAAGTGTACGCACATGCAGAAAAATAAATAGGCTACACACATATATATATATATATATATATACACACACACACAAACACACACACACACACACAATATGCTTATACATGCACACAGGGCTAAATCTCAGGGGGGCTGCGGTGAAATGGAATTACTGTGTTGTTGCTGTACCCTATATCCCTTCCTGCTACGACACTGTAAGTAATTAAATATGAGGCGGCACGTGCAGCCAGCAGCTCTCCCTGTGAAAACTTCCCTCCCAGCTCGGATGATGGGAGAGGAGGAGGGAGGGCACCAGAAAGAAAATGCTGTCATCTCTGATATGTCTGCTTGACTCCAGTGAACTCCTTCCAATAAAAATTCCATATACGGCACTGAGAGAAAATCATCTATGTATGATATAAATATATAAATATAAATGTGTGTGTGTGTGTGTCTAGGTTCTATATATGGCAATATGGCAACATTGCAGTCGGCCTACATGTGACCAAACATTAATTTTGCTAATTTTTATGGCCCATAATCTTTCAATTTTATAAATGGTAAAAGGTAATTATCTGCCTTAAAGTCCCATCCCAAGTCTCAGGTTAGGCTTCTATTCAGTTTTGCCATTACACCAGACCAGTATTTTACCATGACAGAGCTAACTGCTAACATGCTATCATGCCAGTGCTATTCAGTCACAACAGCTCTCTGAGCTTCCCTCTATTGTCTCTGTACAGTGCTGTTTATTTTGTTTTGTTCAATAACACTCATGGAAACTTATTGAAGAGGAAGAATAAAGCTCTTAGTTCATTAACTTAGTTGATCAATAACAAACACCGACCAGAACACAGCTAAAATTCAAGTGAGGATTAGACATAGCTTCATTAGACGGACAGAAATGTGTCTCCCAATGAATGCTAATGCTAACATGTTAGATGCATTAGCTTTAAAAGGTGATAATATGCCAGTTTTGTGTTTACTGCTCGTTTTGTCCCCCCCCCAAAAAAAAAATTACTATGGGCTACACAAGAGGACCTAAAGTGCACTCCTTGATTTTGTTACG